CGATATTCTCAGCCCATAAAAGCGAAGGAGGCGTCAACCCTTATCGACGGCTGTTAAAAAAACGAGTGCGCCCACCCACGGCCCGCCCAGAAAGTGTGACTGTAAGAAAGTCAGCGTAATTAATTTTCTTTACGAGTCCTTTACGCAGTGACGCAAGCGTTAAATATTTATACATCCCATTTATGACACAGTAAAACGTAATTGATTCCGCGGCGAATTGCACGCACTTTAACGGCCCCGTCATTTTTAACTATCCTCCGCAAGGGAGAAGGGCAGGCGAGAAATTTTACATGAGCGGCGGCGCGCGGTGTTGCGTGCTCCACGAACGGCGGGCGCAACATTAACGAGGAAATAGAATCGGTTGCGCGGAAAATGGAAAATTCAACAATAAAAGAAGCCGAGCTAAAAGCCAATACTGTTTTTACAATGGGGGAACGCTACTTTCGTGCGGGAACTCGGGAAAAGAGTAAATTAATTTTGTAAATGTTCATATTTTACATTTATCATTGATCGGTGACTTAATCGAGAGAGAAAAGCGTGCAAAAAAGCGTCATGTGGAATTTGACATTACAAAAATTCTAGAATTGATGAATATTACTACAGTTCTTTGGTCTACCTTGAGAATTGGAGGCAAAATGGCAATGTACGTTATACCGACCGCGTCAATTTCGCTTCTTCTAAAATTTTCAGTCAGAAAACAATACCGAGTTCAACACAAAACGCCACATTATGAGGGACAAATAAGTTTAAGAGTAGCTTTCCTCTCAGATATTCCTATTTTTCTCTATCACAACTATTCAATTTATTATATTAAAGGGATATTACTTGCGAGAAATAAATTAAAATTCATGAAACTTTTTAAAGAGCGCAAACTCTTTACCATAAACGTAACCAAGGCTACCGGGCATCGTAGAAAACGAATTCTTGTGAACTCTAAAAAACATTTAGAACTAATCGATCAATTTTTTTTAAAAAAAAACTCACCACTTTCAGGGTAAATTTGTGTTAGTCTACACTTTTTAGGACGTTCCTGATTTCCTTCCTCAGGACGTATACTTCCTCCTACGCCGACCTTCAGGCGTAGACTAACAACAATTTATGGTGTGAGTGGTGAGTTTTTTATTTTTTATTTTTTTTAAATTGATTTGTCATTTACGCATGCTTTCACCGTTTGTATTAAAATTCCTATCATTCAGTAAAATTGAGAGCTGTTCGGATTGAAAAATACGCCGTAAATTCAGGCAAATTTTTTATTTTCCTCGCCAATGATACTGAATGCAATATCGATGGTATCATGAACAAATCCCTCCTAGAAATGTCCGACTTTTTCTCGCCATCTTGGAAAAAGATGCCTTTTCTTGGCTGCAACACTCAGCTATTCCAGAAGTTGAAAGCAAAAAGCGCTCGCCATCAGCTGACTCACTCAAAGGACAATGATAAAATTTACGAAGGGAGCTTGCAGAGTGGTGGCGAAAGATAATATTGATACTTCACTTAGTCCAACGAACTCTCTAGAAGCCAATTTTCCCTAAGAACTTCAGCTCTATCACATTTATTCTGCGGACTAATGATTCCAGACGGTTGATTAACAGATGATACGTTCCGAGAATCGCGGGGTCACCGGGAGAGCTTTTAAACTTGGGAGCTTTATTGCTTTTCATTCGCGCGACCGCCGTCATCGGTCGCTAAACGAGATTCGAGGAACTGTCGGACCGAAATTGTAAGCAGGCGACCCGAATGCCCTGAATAATACGTCTTCCAGAGAAAGGCGAGGAGTGGTTGCGAGATGAAAGCGCTCGAGTGTTTTTAAACACTATAAAGTTGCCGCCTTCACCTCGCGCTTGCGGTATGACCGAATGGCTGCGAACGCTTGGAGATGGCTTCAGATTTTCAACCGTCGGCATTTGACTCATCTATTTGGAGAGATACTTTCAGCTTTCTGTTCTGCGGAGCAATTGTATTATTCCGATGGATGCAATTTTCTTGTTTCGTTCACTGCGTACTGTGGGCCGAGGGGTGCGCCTGAAAAGCAAGCTTCGGGGCACACGCTGAAAAATGTAACTTTGTTCGGTTCGCATGAAATGAGAATGACTCTACAAGCGGGTCAAATCAGACGATATCTCAATTCACTAGATTTTGTAAGTCCCCAAAATGATCCTAATTGACACTAAATGGACTGCATTTAATGAAAGGGAGCCGACTCGATTCTAGATTAAATTTACGAAATGTACAGACTACTCTCTGAAAAATCGATATTTTTTGGTGCAAAAACAAAATTGTTTTACTATTCTAGGCAATCTTTTGGATACCGATAAAGATGCACGATTATTCAACTTTGAAATCGAGTTCGCTCCCTTATTTCGAATGGATTGAAATTACTTGAGGTGAAGCCAAAAAATTGTCTTGAAACCCTGATTGACTTAAACGGCTATACTCTTCTTTGAAAAATGTCCTATCTTAATTTCAAACAATTTCAGAAATTCTAAAAACTCTACAAGGTGCCTGAAAATCGAACTCCTTGACCAATGGCTTCTCCAAATTACGTCTCCATTAACGAACTACGGGAATAGTGCGTTGAGGAGTAAATTTTAAACGTCATTGACGTTTTTCGATGGTTTTCCTTGAGTAAGATAACTCCTCCATCTGTATATCTCGCCTGCAACAGATCTATTTTTTCCTAAAACACTTACTTCTCAGGTCGGAGCAAATGGCAAGAGCCAAAACGGGTTCACTTGCGGCGCCCTGCCGATGCCTCTGATTTAAAATTCAATCCTGTGTGTTCAAGACGGAAGTGGAAAAAAACCTACGATTTAAAGAATACCATGAAATTCGCGTTCCCAGCACAAATTGTCAGCGAACAATCCCGGTATAAAAGATTCGCTTCTTCGACAAAAGGTAGCAACTGCATTCGTACCTGAGCTCTGTTATGAATGTGTATTCGCGAGTTTCGGCGTTTGTTAGAGATTGACTTACGCTATTTTTGGCACGGAGAGACGGAAAGGAAGATTGGACTCGAGAGAAAATAATAATATTGTTTAGGTGCCCCGGTCGTCTGCCGAAACGCTGAGCTGCAATGTCTCCGTTCAAATAAGCAATATACGGTCCTTTCAGTGCTTTAAGCGCAGGGAATAAAAGCCTTTTTGTATTTTACTCATGGGTCATTCCATGGTAATTGTTTCCGGTTGCCACGTTTCGGCGTTCACTCTGTTTTTACATTGCTGTGTAGCGGTTTGATACATGAATCTTCGAATAGGAAATATGCCAGAAAACCGACTGTGAACTTGGTTCCTTTTTCCGATTTAATTTGCCTCTTTTTGGCTGCAGAAGAAGAATTAATGACTATGAAGTGAAAAGGAACATATATTTGAGGCAAACTAAACTAACAAAGCTCTTACACTGGAAAAAAAAAAAAAAACACATTGGATCTGGAGTCCAGACTCTTAAAAACATCGACAAGAAAAAGTACTCTTGATTCAATCAGAATCTAGCTTAAATCAAAAACCAAGCCTCTTAATTTAAGCGGATTTTGTTTTGATTCAAGCAAAAATCCGATTGAATCAAGAGTATTTTTTCTTGTCAATGTTTTCAAGAATCTGGACTCTAGATCCAATGTGTTTTTTTTCCAGTGTGCAGTTTACTGAAATCAGAATTCTGAGACGAAAAATTTAGTTTATGGAAAATAAAGTAGAAAATCAACGACAAGTACCCGCAATGGTTTGTAGAGAACTTGGATTTCGACCTAACAGAAAGTGGAATTTCGGTAAAAACGACCTTTTTCGTCAGTGTCCACTCGGCTTCAGATGGAACCTACACACCTACAGCTGCCGCAGGCGTCGGTTAAAGACTTAAACTTCTTGGCACGCACATAAAAGCCCCAATTTCGGATGAGGGCAGGGTAGAACGCTTAAATTAGAGACAGTATCAAATTCTCATCGACCGACTTAACGACCAATTCTTTAATTATGCCGCCGTCCTCGCCCGCACCATCTTCATTCTCAGTCGTTAAAAAGTTTCAGAGCGAAGAGCACGCGTTAATTCCACCCGAAGAGGACCGCTATTTCGGTTGATAATTTTACTTTACAGATGGTGGCGGAAAGCTAACGCACGAAATTATAGAATTTATTCGTAACTATTACGATTAAAAATAAATTCAGACTGATTTTTAAAGAATATGACAGCTATGCAAGGATTAAAGAGGTAAGTTTTTTTGGTAAAAAAAAATATTTCAGATGTTAATTGAGAAAAATATTCTTCCAGTGATACAAAGTAGTACTACCAGTAGTTCATTGATATACTGTACTGAAAAGAAAACGTTTTACTCTGTTCTCACATTACGTAGTATTAAATAGAAATTTTACCCAATTGCAAACAACTGAACATATTAGCCACGATCTAAGACCAATAATAAAACATTTTTGCGGTCCTTTCATTACAAAGTTTTAATCTTCAACAGAACGTAAACATTTTAGACCCTCACCGCTGCTTCATTCTTCGGCACCATGATGGGACTAAAATAATGAGACAGAGTTGATAAGGAAATAATGCACCAAGTTATCATTTTGAGATAATTAAGCTATCGAAGATTTTGCGTTTGACGGGCACTTCATTTCTCCTTCCGAATTATTACAGCCCACGATTTTTCTCTCAATTTTCAGTTTTACTACAAACCTGGACTTAAAGCTCATACTAAACACAAAGCTCTAAATTTACAAAACTTGTTGCGTTTCTGCTTAATTCAGTGCAACTTTTAATGGTTTTGCCCCCTGGACGGGAGAGGAAGTATCATCATCAGTTGGCAAAATCTGATAATAAGCCCATTGTCATGGACCACGTTAGAAATTATGGGTTGTTAGCTTGATTGAAGGCATTCCATGGCCAGCTTCTTATAGTGCTTAAACGTTCCCTTGAAACAATCGCCACCGATTGGCTACATTGGAAACATTCTCTCTGATTCACTGCATTCATTAACGACTAGAATCAAAGACAGCTTATTCATTTACCTTTATGATGTCGCACATGGCTGGCACAGCATGGCTGCTTCAAGTATGTGGCGTAGAAGTTGTAATATTCCGAAGCTTCTGTTTGGAACAATCGAATAATCCTCAATTCTTGGAACAAACACAACAGCAAAAACGCTTTCACAAAGCCGAGGAACTTTGAGGCTCCCATTGCAAGGGATTTACTAGAAACTAACCGATCGAGAGGTAGAAGAGAAAATCAACTTTATCTTTTAACACTTTCATTCAGTTTTTCATTGTACTTGAAAATAGTGAGGCAACTCTAGCGCAAATTCAAATCCGACAGGAAGAAAACGAGATTGTACTCTGACAGTAAAATACAACGGACATTAAAGCGACCAATCGGTATCACAAATGTGAGCAGTGAATATGGGGAAAGCACTTTTGAAGCACGCACAAACACAATTTTAAACTGCAATATTAAATGACGTCAGGAATCTACGACAGAAATCTGTTTTTGTTGTAAGAGAATGAATATATGCATTCAAACGTGACACAGGGGACGACTCTCATTTCACGCGAGGTTGAAAAACACTGAGGTTAAAATTCCAGAAATAACACTGCACATTCAACGTCAAAATAGCTATTTGAAGAGCTTTATGTCGGTGATATACGATAGATTCTGGGTGAAATTAAACAATTTCAGCCACGTGCAGTTGTGTGAGATTCCAACGTCAAAATTTAGATAAAAACTCCACACCTCTACCGAACCAGATCGGGGATTCGCAAAACTTTTACACGGGTTTGCATAGAATCATCAGTGAAACGAACAATTTGAACCACGCGGAATCAAATGCATATTGGTGTTAAAATTCAGGTATTAAACACATTTTTGCCGGATGAGCAAGCGTTTGAAGGACTTCAAAATCACGACTGAGACCCTCAGTTGGATAGAAATTTTTATTAAATGCGGACTTTAAAAATCAGAGAATAACACTTTGAAACCATGAGGCCGGTTGGCGATAATCGGACGGTTTGAAGACAAAGACTTAGACAAAGAGACGGTTCCAGCCGCATAGAGTTATATTAAAAAACCCAGCGTTAAAATTCACATAACACTTTCGCTGATTCACAGTAATTCGATGTGAAATCCAATGTGAGAAAACCCGATTTTCGGAGAGCGACAACGATCATGGCAGACGCACGTGCGACGAGAGAGAACGGCGTGACGTTCGCGGCCGAACGTCGAGCGAGAACTGAAAGCGGAGGGGATACGAAAACAAAACCACGCTGGGAAGAGGGGCGCGCTGCCGCGGTTCGGCGCCGGTGGGGGAAGAGCGTTATCCGCGAGGGGCGGCGGGCGGGGCGGGGTGACCGGGGCCAGAAACCGGACCAGGAGGGCACCTCGGTTTTCGGAACGGAGCGCCGCCGCCCGGGGCAAGAGGGGCCTAACACTTGCTCCAGTGTGAAAAGTGGAATGTGGGTGTATAGAAAAAGTCCTCGCGATTCGCCACGCAGGAGGGATGTTCGGCGTCCGGGCCTCCGGCTGTAGGGTCCTTCTTCCGCGAGACAACGGGGCTCGAAAAATCAAACGCAGTCAGTCTTCTGACCCCGGTTTCTTTCGGCTACCACGGCTTGCAAGGCCCACGATTCTTGTCGCTTGAGCCCTTCGAAGGCCCTTTCGACTAAAGACGAAGAAGGGCCCTCAACTGCCTTCTTAGCGACAGGTGGAAACTTTTACTTTCAGCACTGGACTATGACTATATTGTATGGCAGTGTGGCGGCCAATCACCGCTCACCTCTGGCGACGCAGCCCATGCTCGCTCCCGATTGGCCGCGACTGTTGACCTACTTACGGGTTGTAAAATGTGCAACGGGGTTATCGGTACACTGCACAGAAAAAAATGGATGGTGCTGGCGACAGAACCTTTTGTTCATACGGCTCCCACAGTTTCTTTGTTACACTTACAGAACTTTCTGTCGTGGGAACAGAGTACTCTGTTCCCACGACAGAAGTTCTGTTCTCACAACAGAAAAGTTCTGTAAGTGTAAGAAAGAAACTGTGGGAGCCGTATGAACAAAAGGTTCTGTCGTCAGCACCATCCATTTTTTTCTGTGTGGCCAAACAAGTCCATCAAACTATGGTTTGCTTGCAAAACGAAACGCTCGACACGTATTTGGATTGCATTTTGCAAAAAGGAACCACTAGCATTGCAATGTTGCTAAGATTGTGCAACTTCTTTTGTCTTGGAGGAAAAACCTGATTATCCCTTAATAGTTTCTGTTTCACTTGCTAAAAACTGTAAATTTAAGACAAAAATTACAATTTCATAGTTTTTCACAATTTCCGCAATTTTATTGTAAAGGATGAAGTTGCACAATCTTAGTATCATTGCAATGCTAGTGGTTCCTTTTTGCAAAATGCAATTCATTTAACCATCCACTTAATAGGTAGGTCAACAATTGAATGTTGAAGTCCCGAAAGTAAAAGCTTCCACCATTACCGATTTAGCAATGGCGGGTCTCAAAAATGAACTCTTTCAATTTGCAGAGCGGTTCAAAATTTTCTCTAGTGCACAATTTATTTAAGAGACAACACGGAAACTCATAAACCTGCCCGGCACACACTAAAAAACAGCTTTCAACCGGAACGGAAGAAGGCTACTTTAACATAATGCCAGTTTGCCTTCAATTTTCAGTGTAGGCAAAACGAGCTCCCACGCGGTCGAATAGTGGTATCACCATGAAATGGCAAGCTCTCTCGGTACTAATCGTGAACCAGTCGACATAGGTTCAATCGAGAAATGATAGAAAAACATGTTCACTTTCATTTTTTGATCGAATTATATTGATCGAAACAATCCCAATATATTGCTCCGGTAAATTCAAGAAAATCACTCAATTAATGAAGTGAGCTAGCATTCAAGTATAATTTATGTCGAACCAGACTGACTTTCAGGAGGGGCTTTTCGCTAGTAACAAATAAATGTGGCACTTCGTTTCATATGTGGCACATTCGCCCCCCCCCCCCCCCCGAGGGAGGGGAGGAGGGCCTGCGTTACGTTACCCTCTCTAATGATAAAAACACAACATTTTCAGAAAGTTGAAGCGATCATCCGCGCCGGTCTACGAAGCGATTAAAAATACTTCAAATTTTATCCGGCGAAATTGCCGAAAAGGTGTGGTAGGTTATTTACGAAGTTATGAACACTCCGCCGTATGGGGGACTGTTGTCACAGGTTTAGCAATCCTGCGGACCCCAGCTGGTAGCCCCTGCCTCAAAGGGGGCAGTGGAGATGGTCACCGGCCTCTGGGCGTATGAACCACCTGCTAGAAGGGCAGACAGGGCTCTGAGCTGAAGTGAAAGCAACCTGTCTAGGAGAGGCAACTCCGAANGAGGGTGGCGCGGGGATTCGCACGGTGTTACCCTATTAGCGCCCGCGAGTCGCGCGATATTTAAAATTTATCATCCTCGTAAGTTTCCCACCGGGCGATTACCCGCCGTCCTCGGACCGGCGTGGCGTCTTTTAATTAGCACCTGCCGCGAGCGTTTCTTGGATCCAGCGATTGCTGCGCCACGCCTTCCACGACGCAACGACGTTCCCGATGTCTTCATCACCAATTTCCCGACGAAAAGCTCCGGAAATCTATGCAAGAAAAAAAAGAAGTAAATACGGGGTGATTCAAAAGTTGCGCATCCTCTGAAGTTGAAATCAGGGGCCTAGACCACGATCATGCGAGCGTGAGAAGTCGGGTCGAAAACCTCATGAAGTCTTCAGAGAGTGACGATTTTTTTGGGAGTGAAGGAGGAAGCTCCGTTTTCGGAATAAATGAATCATATCTTCAACATAACGAGACCTTAGGCCTGGTTCAAGTGAGCCCCCAAATGGGACCCCCAATTCACAAAACTTAACTGCGCTGGTGTGGACAAGGGGCCTTCGATTTTGGACGACATTATGCGATGGAAAATTTGGAGGTGTCTGAAATTTGATGAATTTTGTGTTTAGGTGGAATCCACTGAGCGAATAGAACACGAGAATACTCTTGGCTCCAAAATTGGACAAAAATTATTGTCCAAATAGAGTAGCAGCTCGAAGGTTCGGGCACAAAAGTAGTACCGAACCTCTAAATAAAATTCGCTTTTGAACCAATCAGATCTGGATCCTCCACTGACCTTCCTCTTCTTATGGTGGTACCATGTACTTACATGATGGTCTGTTAGCGACCCCCAATGATGTCTGCTCCGGCGAGACGACTCGAAGCCATCAGCGCATCAGTGGCGCAGCGTGGCGTTACTCTATGTAAATGGGGACCGGGGGCTGAGTACCCGGTTTCCCATTTCCATAAACCTGTTCGAACCGATACGCGTCTCGGCGATTTGTAAATGAATCATCCGGACAGACCGATGACAGCTCGCGAGTTGCGCCCGCCTCCTCCAATTAAATTCCCAACACTCTCCTCGACGTTTGCCATAAACAACGCAGCGCTAAAACAACGCATCGACATTCGCGCGTTTCCAAATTTCTTCCGTTCAAAGCACATTTTCGGGAAAACTTGAATGCTTTCCTCTTCGAAATCTTCAGAAAATTTTATCCGTATTTTCCTCATGGGTACTGGAGAGTTTCAAAGAAAAACATTCATGACTTTCCTCCAAATCAAACATTTTATTGGATTATATTTGGCAATGTTCGAGTGTTCATGAAGCGTTTTTTCTCAGCCCGGCACCAACCTGACCGATCCTCTGGTAAAACACTGCGCCTCTCAGCGCCGGACACTGTGGTATAGCTACCGTCAAAACCAGACGCAAACCTGAACTGCGTTCAACGCTTTAAATTCAATGGATTTCTTCCAAATACTTAAAGGAGAGAACGCCTTTTTCCGGATTACTCGGCTTCTCTTCGTTGAACTCGATCGAACTGTTGTCGTATCCGAAATCTGTATTGTTTGTTCCACCTGATTTCGCTGACTAAAAATCCAACTAGCTTTCTTACTTGAAGCACGATATTTTATTTATTTCACCGCCGTTCTTCTGATTCGTTTTTTGAGCTGCATATTTAACTAGTTTAATTCGCTAATACGTTCAGCGAGTTTCGTTCGGCATGATGGACCCGATTGGCAGGATTAACACCACCACATATACTGAAAAATTGAGTACGCCAGCAGTCTAATTGTTGAAAGTGTCTGCCGATTGCACAAGCGCGACAAAGGAGGAATGGAGTGCTGCAATTGGTTGGCTTTATCAGTCGTCCTCTATGTTGTGCCCACGTCGGGAGGAATCGACAAAATAAAGTCATATTTTGAGTCGCTGATAGTTTGTTATAGATTCCACCTGACATAGGCTCGACATTGAGAACGATTAACAAAACTGACCGATCACGTATATCTATTCCTACTTAATCTTATGTCTTACCCAACCTACAGAAACGCACAATTTCAACCATCAGGCTGATATTTAGTGGCCTTCAGATGGTGATAGAAGGTGATTCCGAAATGCACTTCCATATTTCTTCACAAGCTTTCAAATGAATTCTATCACTTCCAAAGGTATCCAAAATTTAATGTCATGGTCTTAATTACTTTCACACTTTAAGTTGAGCTCGTGCAAAATTTGAGAAAACTTGAAAAACCATCAAAATTGAACCTGGACTTTAGGCATTTTTCAGAAATCCGGACCAAAATGGTTCATAATATAAATCTTACACTCAAATAAACAAGAACATCAAGTGACGGGATAATGCAAGATTTTAGCATAGTTTTACGACCACTTAAGGGTGCTCCCATTACACTGAGCAATTGAAATCCATTTAATTACACGATTTTTGGGGTTAGTGTGCGTCTTACTTCGATACATGCACTAGCCAGGTCGAAGTTTTGGAGGAAGAGTAATCGAGTTTAGACTCGCGGCATCACTGTGCGAGGATCTGTTTGCTTTTAGTTGTTCGCTCTCTCTCAGCAATGATCCATTCATTTTCCTTCGTTTACTTCTTGACCACGCGGTAGGCGTGGCTGCTCAGAAATTAGAATCCAAGCCCTGTTCATTGTTGTTGCTGGTGGAGTTTTTTTTTCCTATTTTTTTTTGTTTTGTTTTTCCTTTTACGTTTTCAAATGAGAGAGATAATAATGGATCCTATATGAAGGAGGTCCTCCCAGGGTACAGGCGGTATCTCCGTGGCCGTGTTTGCCCAGGTTTCAATTATTTAATTTCCTTTTTAATGAATATTAATCACTTTTACACCCACGTT